CTAGGATCTGCTGCTTTTAAGCTCAGGGTCAAGCCATCTCCACAGCACGGGGCAATTGGTAGGAGAGGGGTTTCTCTTGAGGTTCCCTAGAGAGTTGAGTAATAGGGTCTACATACACCCTACTCCAGAAACCTCACATAAGCCTATAAAGTCAGGAGTCTCCTCCCACCCCCAAGTATTAGAAATCTGAAAGGTTTTCCCTAAAGTCAAGCTGGCAAGTAGCCCACCCTGTGTCCTAGGAGTCAAGCCCTTTGCTGGGTGCCAAGGGGTCCAGGGAGAGAACAGATGCCTGGGCTTCAAGGAATCCCCAATCTGACGATGGCATAGACCCTACCCTAGAGGAGCCGCCAGTCTAATGGGGAAGACAGGATATCCCTTCCAATGTCGCCAGCAAATCCTGGACAAAGCAATAGACACAAAAGACAAGCAAGATGCTGGGGAGAAGGGGTTACAAGATGGCAGAGCAAATAGAGAAATAGGAGGATGGAGACTTGCAGGAGGGATGGGACACGGAATGGCCTGTGTGAGGTCCAGAGTGGGAGAAGGAGCGTGGCTCAGAGGTTGTGGACAAATATGCTCCGTGGAGCAGGGTCTGAATAGGGCCATCCCAGAAGATGGGGGTACTGGGGCGAGTGGAGGCAAAAGGCATAACGTATCTTGAAGACTGTGATTAGGAGGTTTTCATCTGATGGCAACATGGGTGTCTGGGAAAGGAAGGGGCAAGTTAGAACTGAAGCCTCATGATGACAATTTCAGCAATTATTCCACGGTGGAATAAAGGGAGGGAATGAACGAGCGAGAGAAGCTGGAGTGAGGGAGGCCATTAAGGAGGCTGCCGTGGGCACCAAGGTCAACGGGATGGACAAGCTGATCAGGCAGGGGACAGAGGAAGAAGACACCTGAGGGAAGTTGTGGGGGAAACTTGGGCAGAGAGGAACAGGCAGGATGAGGAGTGGAAAAGAGAGAGGCAGGGCAGTGGGGGACAGGTGAGATGTGGGGAAAGAGAGAAGACAATAACTTCGGCCAAAAGAGAAATTTGCTGAGAATGAGGAAAGAGACTATTTCGGGGAATTTTGACAGCTCAATTCACATTTATTGAATTGAAACTGAAGATAGGACATCTGCCTGGTAAAAACTCATGGAAACAAGGGGCTGTGGGTGTGGAGACCCAGCCTCTCGGAATGAAGACAGGAACCACGCGTTAAGCTTCTTTACAATTCTCCCACCTTCCCAAACTCTAGAAAGATACTGTGCACAAAAGCAAAGAGAAGGAGAATAGAGACTTAGGACAGAACCCCAGAAATAACCACCATGCAGGGCTGGGACAAGGTACAGGAGCCAGGGAAGATGACGGAGTAGAAACAGAGAGGCAGGAAAATGCTAATTGCAAGCAATTAAACTGTACTTTCTACTTGCTGGAAACCCTGGTGGCGTACTGGTTAAGAGCTAGGGCTGCTAACTAAAAAGGTTGGCAGTTTGAACCCACCAGGCTCTCCTTGGAGACCGTATGGGGCAGTTCTACTCTGTCCTATAGGATCGCTATGAGTCAGAATCAACTCGACGGCCACGGGTTTGGTTTTTGGTTTTCTACATGCTAAGCACCATTCCAAGTCCTTTACAAATACTGACTCTTTTAATCCTCATGACTATTATCAGCCCCATTGTAAAGATGAGGAGACTTGGGTAGCTACAAAGTAGTAAAACCAGGATTGAAACCCAAGCAGTCTGGCTATAAGGCCATGTTCTTAACCACTATGCTTATTGCCTCTCGGACAATTCCCCTGAAGCCCAGAGCAGAAAGGAACACCAGGACAGCAATGTCGAGTTGCACCGTCCTTCCACAAGAGGCCTCTTGACAATCGTCACAATAATCCCTAAGTCTCTGAGTTTCACAGCTCTTCTCTGTCCCCTTAATGATGGGCTTTTTGTGTGTGCGTGTGTGTGTGTGTGTGTGTGTGTGTGTGTGTGTGTGTGGAAAGTGGTCTTTCTTTTCCAATCTTCATTCCAGATGTCTTTCCTTTGATAGGAAGTGCTTCCTGATATCTAACCTAAGTCATTCCAGCTGCAGCCTCAACCATCTCCCCAGGTCTTCTGCCATTGGCAGAGTTGCAGAAAGGCCACATACACACTTTCTATGTTACACTTTTTCAGAAGCCTGAAGTCCTAATTACTTTATCTCAAGCCTTGCTTCTCCAACCTCTTTCTCCAAGCCACACAGTTCAGTTCTTACTTCTCTTCCACATTCCAGAACCAGCCTCTCCCTTCTCCCACCACCTCAAATCCAGGCTCCAGGCTGGCAGACACCCACGGGAGGGTTTTTCCCACAATTCCTTTCTCTTTGCCCTTTCAAGGCTCTGATGGGGGAAGGGGATGAAGAGGGGCCACCCAGGATGCACTCTTCCCATGAAGAATGGTGGCAACTCAGGTGAAGGAGGCAAAGCATTGGACTCAGCCTGTGGGAGAAACAGGGTGACTTGGTAAACTTGAAAAGCTCTCATTCCTGGGAGCTGCCCTGGCCAACCACCCTTCACTGGGTACTAAAACATTTGGATTCCAAATCTCTCCTTTCTCTCTAGCCTTTCTGCAGTCTTTTCTCAATGGTGTGCCTTGGGTTATCCCTTCTCTCTGCCCCCTTCCAGGGCCTCACTCCTACCCTGGGTAGCTTGGCCCCAGCCTAGACAGTAGCACAGACCAGTTAGGCAAGAGAAGAATCTAGGCCGGGAAGAGGCGGGAGAGTAGGAGTGGAGGTTTTTCCTTCTGTCCTAAATAACCTTTGGCAGAAAAGTTTAGGGGCTCCAGTGCTCAACCTGTCTTCCTCTCCCACCAGTGCGTGCACTGGTGTGCAGAAACCAAACATTTGTTAGGAGGCTCGGGAGTATCCTTTGAGGAAGTGGGTCTTTCTGCATGACTCCTCTCTGGAGCCCTAAGCCCCTCATCCCACCAATCCTAGGATGACCCCAGAGGGCTCCATCTGAACCCATCCAGATCCAAGGGTCCCAGCCTCTCTGGTCCCTAGGGAGGACAACGGAAGGACGGCCCCTGGGTCTTCTGCCAGCCCCTTTCTTTCTGGCCCAAGCCAATAACCTAACAAAGCTAGAGCTGTAAATGAGCTCATGCACAGTGGTGCAGGTGGGGGCCATGGGGCACAAAAAGGAAGTGGAGGATGCCAGTGGGAAGACAACTGACCCCCTACACCTGCACAAACATATGGCCCCATAGACTGGGTGTGAACAGATCTTTTTCCTCAGGGTAGGGGGCAGAAGTGGGATTCTGCACTAGAGTCAAAGAAGAAATGGGACCATAACCCTGCCACCCCCCACCCCCCACCCCCGACATGCACACACTCAGTGGAGTCATTGCCATTTGATATCCACTGAGACAAGCTGGCTGCTCAGGCTCCGGGGTGGGGGGTGGGGAGATGGCTCAGAAAACAGCAGCTTCTTTCAGGACCCAGGTTGGCAAGGGCTTTGAGAGGCTGGACCAGCCCAGATCACCCCCCAACACCCCCTCCCTCCTTCCCTCACCACCACCACCAAAGGACTAGAGGGCGGGGAAAAGGGAGGTGGCACTGCCCGGGCCATGCCCACTGCCTCCGCAGGCCAGCCTTAGCCCCTCTCCCTGGCATGATGCCTTCCCACTCCCTCCTCTCTGAAGAGCCAGCTGAGCCAGACACCTGGTTCCTTCCTTGCTCTTCCACCTGCACCTTGAAGAATTAACAAGCCTGACCCCTCGGCATGGCATGGTGCCCACCATCATGCCAGGAACATGCTTGGAACTCCTTGGAGATTAGGGAGAAGCTTTCAAGAGGAGACTGAAGGGAACTCAGTAGTGATTGCTGTCCATCTCCTGGGGCTTGGATCTTGATACCCACTCCAGCCCTCCTCAGCACCCCACCCAGGGACACCCCTCACAGAGAGCCACCACATCTCCCATCATCATATCCCTGCCTCTCAGGACTTCCAATAGCAGTCCCTGTGGGGGGAAAAAATTCAAATGCCGTAGCAAGGGCAGGCTGGCCAAAAATCTTTAGTCAGAGTTTGTACTGATAAGCAACATAATCAGGCTTTAAGACCTAGCCTTAAATTTAGGTCCAAATTTGTCCCGGCTTCATCACCACTGTGTTCCTACCTGCCTCACCCTGCCTAGGACGTTTTATTTGCTGGAAAGAAATCTCAAGATACCAAAGACCCCTCTCCCACTTTCTCCCAGTTTTGTCCTTCTACCCAATCTGGGGTTCAGCTCCCTTGCCCCTGTTCAAAGAGTTCTTCTTCTCTTTTCTAACACAGGAGCCCTTGAGGGGAAGGGGGAATCTCCGTCTAGAGGGTGGGTGTTACAGAACTAGATCTGCCTTCTTACTCGCGATCCTTTCCTCCTAGGGAATCTCAGTGTGAAACAGCTGGAGGAGAGGGTTAACGGGGAGGGAAGGTCTTGAAGTAGAAGCCAAGTCAGAACGGAGGAAAGCGACTGAGTGGGCAGGGGTCTCGGGCACACCAGGCTACTGCGCCCCCCTAATTAAAGCGGTGAGTGTGTGTTTTTCTCCCCTGGGTAAACGAGTGATCCGTGAGTGACAGTTTGTGTCACACTGTGTGGGGAGGGGAAGGGACTGTGCATGGGGGTGGGAGTAACCTGGTGATCCTGGGAGGAGGGGTGCCGTCTGAGGTCCTGTGTGGGGAGGCCTGGGTACGCGTGGTGGTCACTCTGTTAGCTGGGGGAGCTGTGAGGCAGTATAAGTCTGCCCAGTTAGAGGAGGCAGCAGAAAAGCCCCTTCCTTAGCCTAGAGGTCTGATATGACCAGCCTGGGTAAAGTGCCCTTCGTGGGGAGCCCTTCCCCGGAGTGTCCGTTAGGGCTGCCCAAGGCGGAAGGTCAGGGAACAGACGGTACCGCTGAGACCAGTCAGGGCAGGGACCAGGGGGCTGGGGTCCCCGATGTCTCTGCAGGGTGAGGTGGACAGGACCCCGGCCGGGGTGGCGGTACTCCTTCATAAGGGCCAGGGTCTTACCTTAGGTCCGGGGTGGAGTGGCCCTTCAGATGGACCGCGGGCAGTAGGACCGACGGACGGGCGGGGCGGCAGGAGTAAGGAACCGAGCTGGCTGTGCAACGGGCAGGGTCGGGACTCTTAAACCTGCAGCCGGAATCAGATAAGGGCCGGTCCGGGGGCCGGGGCCGGGGTCGGGCCGGCCGGGGGC